CTCACCCGCTGTTCTTCAACCGTAACCCTTGCTATCAGCGATTCAGCACGTGCACCTTCACTCCGTTCCGCAGCGAGATAGCTCTTTCGCGTTCTGCGGATTATCGCGGACCAACGGATGTCAAAGAGGATTCATGCTTTTCAGAATTTTTCTCGCTACTTTAATCGCCTATTCTTACGGCCGCGGGTTGTTGTTGTTGTTAGAAGAATAGGGATTGTAGGAAATATTCTCAGTTTATCAAGCGATACGCTATTCTTTCAAAATTGATGAACGTTTACATGCAGTGTCCTGAGTGTTGTGATGATTATTTCAGAAAATTTGATCCAGAGATCTTCTCTGAGTGTTAAAATTAATTCTTCGAATTCTTGAATTTTTCCTCAAAGTTTTAAAAGTAAAGTGTCAGTTGATTTTTTTAATAAGTCGAACTTTTCAACTTTGTCAATAATTTTTTCTTCTATTGTGATGCATATTAATAAATTTTTCTTTTCTTGCTATGTTAGAAAATAGTTATTTATAATAGTGTCAGCTTCTTCAATCATTATCATATAAACGGAATTTACAAAAATTTAATAATTATTTATAAAGTTTCTTGCAGAAACTATCATGTAAAAATAACTACATTTACTATGCAACAATTTTATTTCCATGCTAGCGTGTGCCAGACGTACCAGAGTATTTTCAAAATCTTAATTCTAAATCTTTTAATAATCACTTAATCAAAATTGATTTATGTATTAGATATGTTTATTACTATTATGACCGACTAATCGGGGTCCACAAGGTGCCAATCTTCTCGTCTAATCTAATCAAGTTTTATCAGCAGAGAACGATTAATTTCATTTATCAATTACGCAAATTGTTTAATGCATGCTAAACTGTCACACACGTTGAAAGTGATTGTATTTTCAACAGTTACTGATCAATTCTGCTTATTATTACTTTGAACTAATATAATAAGCAAGAGTTTTTTCGTATTTATCTGTCAAGACTTCAACTCATAAAATAAAATAGTTAAATGTGTCTCAAAATATATAATTGATAATTATTGGAATATCTATTATCGAGGAAGACCATCGGCGATAATCTTACTATAAGTGTGGTGCGCATACTGCATATCGTTCATTCAGTGTATTTTATGTGAAATCAGGTGAAAATCAGTGCACTCGGAAGAGTCACAATAAGGATGTGGCGAGATCCTCCAGGCGGAGGGTATAAGAAACCCATCCACATCGCCACTATGTTACTGCTAGCTGTTATTCTGACATTGACAACGGGTGAGTCAACTTCATACGAAAAGATCTCATTCACTTCGCGTTTCTCGGCATGACTCGACGATAATTACGGAGAAGCATTGACGCATGAGAGTCAGGCAATGCGCGCGAAAAATCGGAAAAAAGTTTACATATGTAAGAAGGACAAGCCACGACTTTGTGCGTTAAACAGAAGAATTAGGCACTACAGAATTATGCAATTATAATAATACATTATAGAATAAAGACAAAAATTTTTTAGGTCAGTAACAATAATGATCTAACATCAAAATGATATTCTTAATGTATAACATATTAGAAGTAGAATTACATATAAAAATTAATTGAAAGATCGAGAACAAACTGAATTTTCATTAAAAGTTAAAATTTTTGTTTATCATAAAGCTGCAGGTTTCTAAGAATTTTGTTATTGTGCATTGTATATTGCAACGTGGTTCCTAATGTTTTTTAGAATTATTTGTAATACCACTTCCATAAATTACGAATCTGATATACATTTCAATGCGCCATTGTAATTTTGTAAAGTATGCATCTTAACTTATCAAAGTTCGTCAGCTGACACGGCATTCTGTTCTTTACAATACACGGATCAAATATGATACTTGACACTAAATACCTTTGGATATTGATTCATCAGCATATTGAGACAAAATTAGCACAAAGCTTTAATCAATTCCTAGCAAGATAGAATAAAATTGCCAAAATTAAAAAAATTGATTTTTTCACTTATATTAATGTATAATTATATGTACACACAAATTTAAATCTGATAACAAAATATAGAAGTATAGGGTATTTCTATAAATAGAAATTGTTACTCTATAATCATTATATAGGATTTTTTAATATAATATAAAGGCTAACACATAACTGAATGGTTGACATTGTAAACATTCCATTAATAATCTATATAAAGTTGCCGCGCAATTTTGAAATATCCAATCACTAAAATTAAGCAATTTTAGTTCCATTTGTTGTGATTCGTTATAACTGTTCATGCTGTTGCTTTTTTCCTGGCATAATTTCGTGTCCGCATTTTGAACTGAACAGACGGTTAGTTGGGATTGTGAAAGGTCCTGGGGTATAGATTCGAGCGGATCTCGAAGTGCAGCTGTCGGAGGAGAGACTAAGATGAAGGGGACAAAGAGATCGGGAGGGAAAGGAACAGCTGCTGTTCCCAGAATGCAGGCTCACATCATACTTCAGGAAGAATTACATTTGCGAATGCTCGTCACCAGGTGAATCCGCCTATTATGTATGCGGAATCTGCGTTACTATTCATTTATTAATGAAAATGAGCATAACATTGGAGTATTCACGATGCTTCCAATTGAGCTTTAAGTTTCGGATGATAATTACATATGAAAAAGGATCATACATATTTCATTGATAGTTAACATAGAATAAAGTTCATAATGACTTAGTTTTATTAAAAATTTGTGAAACTATATATGAGACATCCTGGATTTCAATACAATTGAGGCAAACGATGCTAATTATAAACTTGTCGATATTATAAATATCAAATACACGAATGGCGGAAATTATATTCTATATTCGTAATTCTATGTAGTTTCACGGTATTTTGTTGAATTTAAATCGCTTTGGAAGTAATATTAAAACTAAATTAAATGTATTGTCAACACTTTAAATTTGAGGAAGTGAGACTTAGGAACATATTTTGATATCTCACAGGAAGTAACAGAAATAGACGTACTTATAGAAGCCGTATATGACCTGAAAGAGGTTTAAGAATTTCTTCAGACTTCCTCTACCTACGCATAAATGTTGTAGTTCACCCTCTCGCACTAATGTGCGTTAATAAAATATAATTTTAATAATAATTTTAGAGATTCTGATTATTATTTCTGAGATCTCTTGAGAAACAACTAAAAAATATTACAGAATTTATGAGATCAATATGATAAGAATTAAGTTAAATTATTATTAGCTGAGGATGACTTAAAAAAGAGTCGAAACGTACTAAACTCTCTGTATTTTTCAATAAAAGGATTTAATATATCCAAGTTTTTTGATTGAACGTACTAACAACAACGTGGCATTCTCATTCGCCTCCTAATTATAGGAAAATTTTACTGGATTCGTTTGGAATTTGAGAGTCAATAAGAAGATATCGTTTTTGGACTTGTTTAAATTATTATATTATAAAATATTATAAAATAATTATTCCTTTGAATTATTAAATTTAAATTTTAGTTTAAGTTAAATTAAGATTAAAATTAAAGTTAAATTATTCTTTTATTTAATTAAATGATAATTAAACAATTAAAAAAGTTATCTTGAAAAAACAAAACAATTTGACTTTGCAGAATGTATAGTAGTTTTAAAATAAAGATATTAGGTGCAAGCATAAGGGTTTATTAAAAAAATGTTAATTCTCGATTAATGAAAAATTAAATCAAAAATTTCGAAAGTCTATTCAGTCGGTTCGTTTTTTCGACACCTTCGTCGACTTATGGTTCAAACCGACTTAACATTTCTTTTTATTATGCACGTCACAGAATTTTACGCTTACATACGCACACATACACACAAACGTGCGAGCAGATGAACACACACGTGAGTCACACGTGTGGCGATACGCGTGCGCGTGTGTTCACGCTGGAAATATATTCGATGCAGCGTGTCCGGACGTTTCAAAGCTATCGCTATATATAGATAACAGAGCGGTTCTCGACTTGGAAGAATCTTGTCTTTCATTGATGCGTAAGAGTTTAATTTCGGAAAAAAAGTTTTACATACCGCACACTTCGGCGATCGATATCTACTCGTGCAACGTACCGCATCCGCCACCACGTTTGTACAGCCGCAACAATGCTCTGAGCCATTGTTGCACCGTGCACGTGCACGTGCCGCGCAGAACGTATAAATAATGTAACCCTTGGACGTAAATGCACAATCACCATTGCCGTACGCACCTAGTTAATCATTGTAATGCCCTTACGGTTGCGTTGGTATAATCCTTTTAACTCTTTCGGTGACGCCATTGTAACTGTCAACATGCGAAGATTTAAGAGAAGGGAAAAGTGATGAGGGAAAAGAGGATATCTGCGATGAAGCTTGAAGGAAAGAAACACGGATAGGATAATTTTGTTAAAGTATATATATCTAAAAATTTAAGTAGATATAAATATTATAACTCTGAATAATTTTGCTAAATATCAAAATAATTACGTAGAATGCTTGCTTGGTGAAAATAAAAATTGTAGTGTATGAGTGCAATAAGTATAAGGGGAGAGTAACAGAAGTGTAAACAAAGTTAAGAGAAGAAAATTGAGACAACAAAATGTAAAGAAACATTTATGTTTCTTTTACATTTTTGTTTACCGTATTCTGTAATTTTCTCCTTACATTCGATTTATGCTCTGATTTTTATTTTTGCCAAGATTAAACATAATGAACAATATTGCAAAAAATTTTGGCATTCCAGCAACAATCTTGAACATCCTACATAATTATTTTGATGGTCCCATAAAATCCAAGTCTTGACATATCTAGTTTATTTATGGTATTACTTATTTAAGTACTTATTACTTTTTTTTATGAGTACAAAATATAATTTACATTTTTATTTTTGTTTCTTCACTAAGAAATGGTTTTGTTAAAGTATTCATAAACATATCTAAGTTTATGGGAGAGAATACTTTTTCGTAGTGACGAAATAAAAACAAAAATGTAAGTTACATCTTGCATTTAGAAAAAAAGTAAAAAGTTGACGTTTCGTGTTATCTGCTTCAATTTAATGCAAATTACTTGAGAAATTTTGTAACCGTCAACACGCGAGTGAAATGAAAGCTGGAGGAGGACAAGAATAAGCGACATAGAACTGTAGTTATGCGAGGTCCGCCTACAGCAGAAGGCGCGTATCCACGACAAAAATTCGGAACACCTGTCCTTTATACCTATATATGTATCCTGCCTGCTTGCTCCAACGGCGCACGCTTCGCCAACCGGTTCTTCGTAACTTGATTTTATACTACGCCGGGTTCATACACTCTCGTTTCGCCGCGATCGCTGTCGCGGTGAATCAGTAGTAGGTGGTTACGTGTGCGAAAATTGTGTAGTACGATATACTCCTACATAAACTTTAAGCACCTTTTGCAGGAAGGAACGACTAGCTGAATATTTGTATCTTCATGCTGCTACAAAGATTGCAATTTCATAGAAGAATTAATAAATCGAATAATAGATCTTTTTGTTAATTCAACAAATTATAAATAATAATTAAAAGATATATCTATACAAACTTCTAATAGACGTCCTCCTAAAAACGTTTTCAAAATGTCCATAGGATGTGCTACGTGAAATCTTTCATGAAAACCAAACAAGTCCAAAAATTTAAATTTTTAGGAAACAACAAATTTATGATCTTCAAAAACCGTTTATTGTATAAATATAATTTTTTTTCGAACATATAATAGGTAGATAGATAAGAACATATAATAGGTAGACAGAACAAAGTTTTAAAGCTACAAACTTATTTTAACATAATATTTTACAATAATAAGTTAGAACAAAATTGTTGTACCTGAATAAACCATCTAAATAAGAAAAGTACCAACTGTGCCAATATTTTACATCTATCTTTCTCTATAATAACATCAATAATGATGTATGATATTAATGAACATGATATATGATGAACAATATTAAAGGTAAAGAGGAAATATTATTTAAATAATGTAATGATTTCACTTTTTATTTACAAAATTTATTTATAAATTGCTCTTAATAAAATATCTTTTGCAAATGTTAAATTCCTATATTTTCCGTCATTTTATTCTTGCTGGAATAAAATCATTTACAATATGACGTTAAATAACGATTTGGCACTATAACTCAGATTAAAAAATGAATTTAATTGGTATTTATGAGAAACACACCGTTCAATTATATGCACAACCGCCGCTTATAGTAGATATACACATTGTATCGAAAAAGAATTGCACAGAAACTGTTTGTGATTCTTTTGTTTCTTATGAAATATGGAACGTGCAAATCATGCATTTGCAATAAATTTACAGTCAATGGTACTTAAGTTGCCATCGATGGCTATAACTTGTCGCTACCAATGTTACTGACAGTCGAAGAGCGCAGCTTGCCATGACGGAAAAGGAATCACGCATTGTCGTCTCCCTTATGGTCACGTGACGTTGATCGCATATTATTCAATAACAGACTTGACAACCTGTTGTTTGCTGCAATTGGCAACGCGCCAATTGAATGTGGGTGTCGCATATCCTGGTTGAAACAAATGATAAGCGAAACCCGAAGACACGAGACAAAACGTCTCGTCGCTCGTGACACTCTTAATTAATTGGTTTCGTGCTAATGTTCCCACAAGCTATTAAGCGTCCCTTACATTTCGTTCTGTCCACGAAACATTTCTTTTTCGCAATGAAAACTCCGTTGCAGTCTTTATACTAAATTAGCTCCATTATCCTTACAAAGAAATCACTTTAAACCTTATAAAGAAGTCGTGACTTGTCGTTTACAATTTTCAAAAATAATTCCTGAAAAATTAGTCATTCGTCTCGAAAAGGTACACTTCAACTTTACAATAAACATGATAGTTTTTGGCAAATTTATATGCGATAGGTCTGTTGTATCTTAAGTTAATTTTTTTACAAGTATATAAAAGTAAAAAACAAGTATTTAAAAATATCAAATACATTTTTACATATACTTTGATATCTTTAGAAAATTCTTGTAAAGTTGTATGTTTATGAAAAATTATATATAAATGTAATAATTAATTGCAAGAAAAATGTACTTTTTCATATAAAAATGCAAAACACTGAAACAAAAATGTTTAAAGAAAAAATATGTTTTATTTTAATATCTTAAAGTTATCATTTTAAACTATTAAAAAGAAAAAAAACAGTTTAATTATCAATTATCCAAACATTTAGTTGTTGAAGTAACTAAAAAATGATATTTTTTATAGTGTCTAAATGGATATATATATTAAATTGCATTTATATTTTAAACATTTTATCATTAATATTGTATTACAAAAAGTTACAACTAATTAGAAAAACTTATATTTTTGAATTTTTATTTAAATATTTTTAAATTTTTTAAATATTTATTATATTTTTAAAATATTTATAATGTTTAACGCAAATTGTTTTATTTTTAATTTTTTAATAGTTTAAAAGTGAAACTTTTTTAATATAAATAAGAATTAATTAAAAAAAATTTTCAGTAACAAAAAATGTTACTCTCTACACATGATGGATCTTTTGTGTCCTGAGATGAATTTTCGAAACGTTCTCCTTGGAGGATATACAGGAAGTTGACGACACACAAAACTTGTTCTAGATACCAAAACTTTTTTTTAAAAAAAGAATACAGATCGTTATTTAGCTAGACATTTTTAATATTTCGAGGTGTTTGCGTATCTATAGGGTTTTGTACATTTTTATTAGCTACTTTTAATATCAAAGATCCCGCTCTTGGTTGCGTGCAGCGCCTATCAGTTTTTCCGTGCTAAGTTTAGTTTTGCGGCGCTCCGACAGCGCTTTATCCCCTCTACTCTCATGACTTGCGCACTGCGAGAGTGAACGTTACTGTCTGTCTGTACAAGTTCGAACCGAGCATTATCGTTTTCATAAGTTTTGGATCTGTTTGGCTGTAATAAAGAACAGAGTTATTTTGTACAAGTGTCCGTTGGCATTGCGAGACATTTCTTTGCACACATAACGGCGCAAACACGAGGAAAAGAAGAGAATACGAACACTCTAATCGTGTGTACTAAGGGTTAATCGAATTAACAAGTCTCAACTCTAGTTATAGTTTCAATGCAGAAATTTAGAAAATTTAATTCCAAATTGCATATGTTCGAAATAAGTTAAGCAATATAAGTGCTCGTACGTGATTATAAGAACTTTTTGCATTGTGCTTGCAGTTATCTCTGCCGAAGATGCATCTATGGGACCGGTGTTTGTCAAGGAACCTCCAAACCGGATTGATTTCTCAAATGGAACTGGAGCCGTCGTAGAATGTCAAGCAAGAGGAAATCCACAACCGGATATCATCTGGGTTCGTTCTGATGGAAATACTGCTGTAGGAGATGTTCCTGGATTGAGACAGGTATTGTGTCAAGTTTTAATTTGTTTTTGTAATTAAAATGTCACTTACAATTTACAATTAAATTATTATAGTATCGAAACCAATATCGAGAGAAATTCATGATTCTTTAGAAGTGTATCAAACTGTTTTAAAATAAATGCGCTCTCATACAGCATTTGTTATTCTATTCTATTAACATTAGCAAAACGAATATTCTTAATTAAAAATGTAGGAGAAAGTATATAACTAAAAAAATGCAATATAAATACCACAGATCATCACAATTAGCATACAGAGTAATTAATGTACAGTTTTATACTGTATTTTCTTTATAGTGCAAACTTTCGAAAGTTTGATCTTTTTTGATCCCCTGAATTTTTGTATGAACAAAATATAATTTGATTGTATGAGATGTATATTTAACATTGTATGTGCCCAAATTTACTCGTATTTATAAATTTCAATTCCTTTATTTCATCCTTTTCTATCTATATAGGTGAAATCAAAATCGGAGTTTTATTCCGAAATCAGAGTGATCAAGTGGAGAAGTTTTTTTGTTAGCTAACTCTAGTCTATAAGATCGAAAATTAGTTTTTTCTTATATATGTAGGCAGTGTAGGACGATGAACTATTCGTCTAAATAGCTGCCAATTACTAGTTGTTCCCATATTAAATATCTATCTGCAGTATGTGAATGGAATTATTAAACGCCTATGCCATCCCACATTCATTCATTCACGTAATCGTGAAGGACGCTTTAATTATTTCCAAGCTTGCTGCATGTGTTATTATACTAATTTAGTTTCTATATTCTATAGTTATTGGCCCTTTGTAGGTTATGCCGAACGGAAATTTGGTGTTCCCTCCTTTCCGTGCTGAAGATTACCGTCAGGAAGTTCACGCTCAAGTCTACACCTGTTTAGCACGTTCCCCTGCAGGTTCGGTACACAGCCGTGATGTCAACGTGAGAGCCGGTAAGTGTCAATCTTTACATGTATTCATTAGGCATATATGGTTTAGCCATCTCTATATATATAGAGTTTTATATAAAATGATCAAGAGAAATATAGAGCGCCTTTAAATTTAAACTTAAATAAATTCGAAATTGAAATCGATTTCTGATAAAAACTTAGCTTTCTTTGCATTTAATCAAAATGAATGTATGTATTAGTTAATAAAATATAATTAAAATTATAAAGAAGACGGAAATAAATTTGAATTTTTAACATTTATTTTTGTTTGGCAAAAAAAATATTAAAATTATTTTTAAGGTAAAAGTTTTATTAGACATTGTAACATTTTAATGTAAGCGCTAGAAGTTCTTATTTAAAAGTTCGAATTAATTTTGCGAATAAATACCATACATTTAAAATTAAAATTATATATTTTTGTGGAAATATATGGAATTTTTTTTAATAAGATGGCTAAATATTTTTTTAGGAAATATAAAAATTAATTTTTTTCAGTGTGTAAAAGCACGATTTTTCGTGCTTATTTCTTCTACATTATATCCGAGGTCTTTTGAAAAAATTCCAATTCGGTAAAAGATATCGGTGTCAGTGAGATGATATAAAAGTTTGATGCTAGATATTGCTCTTAAGTACATTACAATCTGCCGCCGCCGTTTATACAAAAAATATATTCGATTCCTCCAGTCTCAATCTGCTCGCAAGTAATTAGAAAATTGCTCTTTGCATAATCAATGTAATCCAATTTTAAATGATGTTATCGTACTGTTCGTGCAAAACTAAAAATGCTTCTGAATCATATAGTGATGTCATTAAATCTGACGTCAATGTGCTTTATCGACCGCAACACAGTTTCTAGTTGCATTCTTATCTTTTACCGGTTAAATATAATTCATTTTTTACAGATTTCTAAAAAGAATTTTTTAGATAAATATAAATAACAATAAGTAACAATAATTATTTAAAAATGCTATATTATTATTATAATTGTTAAAAATATTACATATAAGTGACAAATATTTTGTAAATATTAATATATTAATATAGTAGAGAAAATAAATTTAAAAGAAAAATATTTATTTTAAAGTATTTTTACAAAAAATATTCATATTTTCTTAGAGCTGTTGAGGCTGGAGCAAAATAATTCCCGACGTACTGTAAAAATGTTATTATGTATACGAAATTATAGTGGTGGCGCAGTATTACGACACCGACGTCAATAAAGAATACGCGATCCGTGGGAACAGTGCCATTTTGAAATGTGTCGTTCCTTCTTTCGTCGCTGATTTCGTCAAAGTCCTATCCTGGCATACGGATCAGGGAGAGGAATTCGTGCCTGGCGATGATTTTGGTATAAACAGAATTAGGATTTATGAACTGAATCAACCGATCTCCTTACCTCCAGGCGAGCAGAAAATTTTGTCGCATTTTGATTTATATTGATATAAAATTAAAAATCGTGGATTTTCTGATTTTATTTAGAAAATATCTAAAATTTTATAAATACAAAATTCACATTTATAAACGCATTTAAAAAAAAGATATATTTAATATTTTTATTTAACTTTTTATTCTGAGTCGCACCGAAATTTTGCCGACACAATTTCCCAATTCAGTTACGCCCTCTCGCACAGAGACAATTAAGAAATAATGTCGTTATTGTCCGGTCATATATTCCAGTTCGAGGGCACAAATGCATCGTGTCGTTCGGTTGAGTGACTGACACCATCCGTGTGACTCGGCCGCTTCTCGTATATTGATCTCAATTGCCACGGTAACAAAATGCAAATCCATTTGGAACGTTGCGACGAGTGTTGCGACGCGAAAGTATATGGGTCGTTCACTTTCCACGGTCAATACGTGTATATATTTTATATATACATATATATGTGTATGCATCGTCACATTCATCTCGTTAACGTTATATCCAATACGATATATCTAATGTGTTATCTGAAACGATCGGGTATTTGACCATTGTCAGCTATCTCTCTCATTTTTCTATTAAATCCGGAGTATTCACTTCTGACGCGCCGTCTATGTATTTTAAATCCGTCAGTACGTTTAATAATATTTATCTTCAGTCTGTTCCCTTTTCTGTGTTCTAAAAATTAATAATAACAACACAATAATTGATCATAATAACAATAGAAATAATAACGAGAATTTTTATAGTATTTTAAATTATTTTTTAATTGTGCATAACATTAATATGTCTCATTATTGCATTATCTAGTATTTTATAAAAATACAAAAGCAGTTAGTGCATTAATTACGAAATAATTGTCCTTGTAATTATAATTAAATTAATTTTATAAGAGCGCGAGAGAAATTGTTATAGTTTTATTTAAAACTTTTTTTAGAATGTTGTATCGAAGTATCTATAGTGTATGTATGTACATATACACAATGCACGCATATAAAATCAATCATAAGATGCGACAATAATTCTGCTCGCGGAGCAATGGCGAAACATATCGCCCAAAGCTGCCGTCAACGTCGTCGACATTTCATTCGGTTTTCGAAAATTAATTTATATTTGAAAAAAAACTTTTTATGAATGTATATCTCGTACCGTGTAAAGATAATATGTTAAAGAGTCGAGCAACTTGAAGCGATTACAGAATACGATATTCTGTTGAATGTATTTCCAATCGTTATGAAAATAAAACCGACACGAGTGGACGTTATCGTTATACTCAGTAGACAAATCGGGCTGGCATAGATTATGTTGATCATTTATTGCAGTGGTACATCAGTATTATCAGTCTGAGGTCAACAATGAGTACGTAATACGCGGCAACGCGGCCATTCTCAAGTGCAGTATACCGAGCTTCGTTGCAGAATTCGTTCAGGTTATTGGCTGGCAGGACGATCAGGGGAATTCTTTTGATCCGGATCAGGATAACGGTACAGTCCGAAACTTTTAGGAAATTCGGGAAGTCGGAACCTGCGTGGGCAGCAAATGATGTATTGGTCAACGTCGTCGATGTCGCGTTCGGAAAACGTGATATATTTTTTTTCATTTTTCTGATCGTACATTATGTATCGTAAAAACTCACTAATATTTTATTCAAATTAATTGAAAAATAACTAATCTAAGAATAATTTTTAATATCAAACTCACTAATCTGTATTTAAATAATGATTAGGACACGAGTACAGAAACGAGTTTGATTTTATTTAAGACTACGTAACTGATTTCTCGGGTAGATCGAATCCGCGAAGCTCCTACCTACTATCTAAGAACCAGTTTCCATAATTATATAGAGGAGCATAGGATCAAATTGTATAATACTAGCTGCTGGAGTGCAACTCTAATGTTGTAATCTCTTTGATAGTAATCACCTAATTTTCTCCAGAGAAATGTGTTTCGTTCTAAGGAATAATTGAGCAAACATATGTAACAAAGCATTGTCTACAGCGATGTGTACGTTATGATAATAATTAAAGAATGTTATGCAGCGTTCTGAACCGAGAAAAGTGTTTCTTTTTGATTAGGCATGCAGCAACGTAACGCGATGTTCGAAAGCACGCGATGTGTGATGTATAGCCACACAATGCGCTATTATAATACGCCATTATCTTTTGCAGTCGTGACTCAGTATTATGAGGCGGAAGTTGTATCGGAATACGTGATACGTGGAAATGCGGCTATTTTAAAATGCACCATACCGAGCTTTGTCGCCGAATTTGTGTCGGTCGAATCGTGGGTGGGAAGCGATGGTTCGACCTTCAGACCGTCCACTGATTATGGTATGATGAACGTACATACATGTTTTTTTTCTGCATCTAGCGCATTTTTCTCTTGTCATTCATTCTAGAGCAGAATCCTGAAGGGGATGATACGCTGGAAAGATATTTATTTTCTCCTATTTCTCTCTTCATTTATCTATTATAATTGAAGAAAACTGATATCAGTTATAATGAATATTTATTTAGTAACATAGAATATTTATTTAACATTTGTTTGAAGCTTTCTTTACTAAGAGAGAACTATTTTTTTAGATCTAAAAGTATAATCCAATTAATGCGAAGAGAATTTCTAACAGTTGTAAGATAAATATTCTGCTGAATGCGGCCATTGCTAAAGCCGATATGTATATGAAAAGTTGAGAACTTATGCGATTGCTAAATTACTATGATGTCGAAAGAAAAAATGATTTTAAGTAATTTTTATTATGATCACTATATATAATCTTCTTTGATAAAAAGAAATATATTTATACGATATAGGTTTTGTTGATGTTTTTATTAAATTTTTATAAAAATATATTTGCGCTCGAGGCTGGATAAATTATTTTAATCGACGTGCAATCATATTTCTGAGATAAAAATTTATTTATAATACATATACATGTATTAGTCTAATATCTTTGACCGTAATTGGCGTTTCTCGTATTTATTATAATTGATAAATTATTCTATTTACTTTGAAGCAATTATTAGCATACCCGTGATATTCTGAATATTTCATTTTAATTATATATATACTAATATCTATTATATTAAATCATTTTGATGAATCTTGATTAATTTATAGTATGTGTGTAAGCGCTGTACAATTTGTACGACTGATAAGCACGTCAGTTAATAAGTACATACGATGAGTACGCAGAGCGAGGAAATTCTCTTTCCGGTTGTATCACCCCTGTCTCTCCCTGCTACTCAGACACCCTGTCCCCTCGCCCAACTTTGTCAAAGTTCAAAGTGGCACGTGGTAACGATTCGTTTCCGCCGGCCACGCGGTCTGATCTGACGGCGACTGAACGGCGGCGGCAGCATATATATACGTGAGAGTTAATGAACCATCCGGTGGCTCTCACGCCGCGAATTACGATAGGCCTAAGAAAATAAGCCGACACCGTGTCAACGAACGTGAGTGTAGCTAAGTTCGAGAAGTTGCGTAGGGAAAGTTCTTAAATTCTCGTTCCAGCATGGTGTAATATCAGGATCCAGTAAGCATATTTTAACAATATAAGATAATGTGTGAAATGCGAGAGAATAGAAGCGATACTTTCTTGGAATTTGATTTACGACTGCATTATCATAGCTTGTTTCGCATTATTTTCTCGATATACAAAAATATCCATGGTACAGAAAATTTACTATTTTCTCGGTACTATTTTCTCGGTACACTATTTTCTCGATATATAAAAATATTCATGGTACAGAAAATTTTCAAATTATTCCTATAGTTTTAATTAATTTTTATTTTAATAAAAATATTGTTTCTTGATTTAAATATTTTTCTAAAAAGTTTAAACTTTCTTGTTTATAAATGTCTAATTATATCTTCTTTCTTGCAATTTATTTGCAAAAAACTGAAAAAACGTATTTTTCATCTAAATAATATGAAAGATTAAAAGCGATAAACATATATGTACTCTGTTCTACACACAATGGGAGCTATTTTTAAACATTGCGACCTTTCTTATTGATTAAATTGAACATGTACTTATTTTAACATGTATCCCCCATATATAGTCGTCACTCAGCCTTACAATCCGGAGATTTTGACCGAATACGTTATAAGGGGAAACAGCGCGATATTAAAATGCAGCATCCCTAGTTACATCGCAGAATTTGTTACTGTTGAGGCATGGATTCGCGAAGATGGCGAGGTCTATCTACCGGCAGATCTTACGGTCGCACAGGGTACTACAAATTCCATTGGGCGGCCTTTAATTATTTTAACCATCCACCAAAAATTGTATATGGATTAGGATGTTTATTGTTAATTTTAATAGAAAAGTATACTTATGTAAAATAAATAACTCAAGAATTTACAGTAGGACTCTGGAATTTGCAATAACTTAACTTGTTTTTTAATTAAAAAAATAATTTATAAATTAAGAATATTGACAACTTATTTTTATTTTTGAATATTGACAACTTTTTTAGATTTCTAGTAAAATCAATTAGCCATTACAAATGCATTTAATTTTACTTGAACTTTTTACTTTGCAACCTAATTCATATATGCGTATATTGTATTTACAATTTGCTGTGGAAAATATTTGTCGCTTATTTATGTTTACTAACGTTGTTAACCCAAGTATTTGTTTTTCTTACGATCCTATTATTCATGTACAATAATTTTATTTTCCGTCGATCCGTCTATTTAACTCTTTGAAGCATATATTTTTATAAGAATGCACACAAAAGGAGTTTTATGATGTATAATAAGACATTTTTTGTTAAAAAATGGCAAAAAATATTAAAAAAATTTTTTTAATAATTGATTTAACTGAATGATCATATAAAGTGGTATAAATTAATCGTATAGATTTCATCATTATATAACTAATAATTAAATTGTCAAATTTCTTCGAAGAAACGATTTATTTTTCACCGTGTCTCAGAGAGTTAATACATTGCCGGCAGTGGTTTCGCAGTTCTACGTTACCGAGGCCGAAAACGAGTACGTGATCCGAGCTAACAGCGCGATCATGAAATGCAAAATACCGAGCTTCGTGTCCGAGTTTGTCCAGGTGGATCAGTGGGTGGCCGACGACGGGACGATTTACACGGCCGGTCAGGAGTACGGTATGATGCCGGTCGTTGTCGACGTAATGTTGTGTATTATTGTCGGCGGGGTAGAGCTTCTCTACTCTCTTATCTCTTATTTCCCCGTTATTCTCATTTCCCACCCTCAAACAAGCTCTTGCACTTTCTTCTCATTCGTTTCCAGGCAATCCGGCGGCTGTCGGTTGCAGTTCGCAGCTCGTTACAAGTTTCAACTTTTACTTTCGAATCTGCTGCAATCCAGTGCACTTGTGCACAATCGCATTTGGAAGTGTATTTCAAATTCCTATTTATATATACACTATTACATCTCTGAATATGACGTCAGAAGTGAGAAATACACAGCAAAAATCTTGCAAAATATGGAAATATATTTCAATAAAATAACATAATTGATAACTGACTTATAAAATACATCGAAAACTCGTCTTTTGCATCGTTAATTAATAAATAACTATGTATATGGAAATAAGTTATGCATAAACAAAAATGTATGATAAACTATAATATTAAAAATTCAAAATAATATCTATAGAAATAAATATAATTTAATTTTTCCTTGAAATAAGAAGATTTCGATATAATGTCATAAGTCTGTCCTATTGATTGTAAATGTTATTTTAATGACAAATATTTCTATTCAAATACAATTTGCAAAAATTATTTATTGTATTTTTTTCTATTTTGATGTTTGGTAATCTGAGATAATAGTAATGAGTGAATAAGGGCGTTAAATAATCATCTGAAAGGTGGATATGAAGACGGATAACAATTTCAATGTGATGAAAAAATATAGCTGTGCAAAATTTTAATGGTTTTTCGATACGGTTCGAGTAGCGTTCATCAAAGTGAAAGAAATTTTTTGATATGATATACCATAAGACTAGCTTTGAGGAATCTCGCGTTGCAGTGGTCCAGCAATTCTACGAGACGAGGGTCATCGACGAGTTTGTCTTACGCGGAAATACCGCAACCCTGAAATGCCTCGTGCCCAGCTTTGTGGCGGATTTTGTAGATGTGATTGAGTGGCAGGATGAGGATGGTTCAACTTATACCGTGAATAGCCAACAAGAAAAGGGTACTTATACTGATTGCACGAAACCAATGTTAACAAAATGGCGAGATAATATTTATAAACTTTTTGTCATATATATCATTTCTAAATTATAATATCCTAATTATATTATAGTGCAATTTTATTCTTTCTACATAGATAATTCTTAATTCTTTATTACTTTACATCTCTTTTATCTTTTTTCCTTGTGTCCTTAAAATTTTTTATAACATATCCATCTTTTAAAGATAAAGCATTTCACAATTAAATTAGAATGTATTTGTCTCAGATGAGTAGAGACGGTTCATTCGTGTAATGTACCTATGTATATGTCTTGTACATATTAGCGTTGTTCGGTAGAATTTTATTATATAATTGAAATAAAGGTTGATGGTCGATGGAATGGAACGCAGGTTCCCGAATAGTTTACCTTTTCGATTCGGCAATCTATAAATGAATAGAGGCAGAGTGTGCAGCCGGCAGTGGTCTCGTTTGGTGTGATCCTCGGATTAGGATAAGCCGGATTAATCGGGTCGAGAAACGAATTAACGCCTGCGCGCGACCAAGTAATTTGATCCACTTTTAGTAAAGAGAGAAGAAGGGTTATTCCCGGTAACATAATCGAATTTACTTTACGGCTGCGCCAGCCAGTGCTTAAGGACATTACAGTAATATGTAATATTAATTAATGAGGTGAAAAGGTATACGAAAAGTTATACTAACGTGTGTGTTAAATTTTATCATATTGTCGAGAAATCATAATTTCATTTCTCTGTACCTAATTTTTAATTACGGAAACGAATATTATTATCCAAAACATATGTTGTATATTTCAAAAACATATAGTAATTAAATTTATTTATTAATAAATTCGTGAGACAAGAGTGATTAAGACAATAAATCTTATTAGCAGAAGTGGTGTAAAATTCGGTTTGTGATTATGAAATAATATTAAGATATACTTAAATTTGAATATACGAGTATGAAATTAAAACGTAACTATTCGTTAAACATGCCGCATATTGATCTTCTTCGATACAATGTACACGAATGAATTTCTATGTGAAATTAAGAGACGGACTGCGGATTTGTGCTAATTTGCAATTAGATTAAGTCGGATTAACTGGATCGATGTCCACGTGCACCGGATGTTGCTGGACTCGACAGGAGCACGACCGGAGGCTGGCTGCAGCGGCTAGCCAGTTTGCAGACAGCCAGACTCATTGGAATTTTAATCGGCGCGATCAAAGCGCACCGGCGATCCTCGGCAACCCAGAACAAACGCCAAACTCTTGTTTTTTCTCGCTTCATTTGCAGTGGTCGCCCAGTACTTTGAGGTTCAGGTTTACGATCAGTTTGCGATACGCGGCAACGCGGCTATTTTCAAGTGTCAAGTTCCTTCGTTCGTGGCCGACCACGTGGACGTGGTGGGATGGATCGATTCCAACGGCGGCAGCTACGTCGCCGACGCACAATCATATGGTAGTAAAAAACTGAAGGGATGCACGCTGCGCATTGTGTATTGTGTTCCCCTGTGTAAACTGGCAGATCGTAAAATTTTATTTGAATAAGGCGCAGATCACCGGACGGATGATCGATCGATCGGGTTATTCGATATCTTGCATGCGCTTTCTACAATTTTCTCTCTTCCTCTTAATGATACCACGTATCATGTTTGTTGGTTTAAGTGTGCGAAATGTATAAGGCGCATGTAATATGATTAGATATCTTCCATATCGTTGCGATGCGCATCGATGTGCCACTTGTTTATTGAACGTATATAACGAATCGTAATGTTGAACATCGATCGCGTCTATTTCAAGACCGGTTGCGCGAGCTGTTCTCTTTGACAGGAACATATTCTTCAGTTGCCATAGACAGTAGAGTTTATTTTAATTCACAAAGAAAAGAGACGCGACGTTGACGTGAATAGGATTCCTGATTACGATATGCTCGTCTCGTCGAGCGGAATTTATCGAGTCAATACCGTCGTAATGATTATGTTATGTATGTACAAGTTTGAAAATAATGTCTGAACCGTTCGTTGAATATCTGTTTTGATAAATATAAATTTTGATAAAGTTTATTATTTTTTATGTTCCATTTTTATTAAACATTCTATAATACACACAATAAAACTAAAACATTTTTTTTAATCAAATAAAGATGTGTTACATATATTATTCAATAAAATAAAAAAAATTATAAAAAAAATTACAGATTTTTTTATATTGTATTTTAAATTAGTACAAAAGGCGGCGAATTACAATTTAAAAAAATTATTTCGTTAAAAAATAGACATGTTTTTAAAAAATAATTAAGATAAAATGAGGAAGCTTTCACTTAAACTAATAATTACATTATTAAATATAAATATTGATCTTATTGTATTGTTTCATATGTATATAATATTTATTTTTTACAGAAAATGTAAATTTTACATTCTAGTCACTTTTTGCAAGGATTACCTATTTAATACATTCTTAAAGTTGTTTTATCCATTAAAATATTCTTAAAATTTCTACAAGTTCTGCGATAATGATGCACATGTCATTCAAATAGGAATTCGTTAAAGCTTCTAATACATTATTTTGTTGACTATTTATCTTCGATCCAATACAATATAATACACAATATCTTCCTCTTTTCTTAGTATAAAATAACACAAATGTATAATATTCACTTTAAATTAATAAAATTAGTTCTAATAATAAAATTCTTCCTTTTTTCTCTCGGCTTATAAATTTGATTAAAATCTACTTGGAAATTACGTAATAAACTGCGTTTATGTAATAAGCAGATAAACGAGATAGTTGAATAAGCTCATACATAAATACACAATTAAGTACATTATTTATCAATCGTAACACCTCTCATCTATAATAATAAAATTAATTCAAAATGAAATTAATGACGTAATTCCTATTTTTATTTTTTAAATAAATCGTATAAATCGAAAAAATTGTCAATCGTACGATGTCGAAATCATAATCAATCGACGAATGATCGACACGTCCTGCCAGGTGGTAGATGTGCGCCTTATGGTAAAACCGGAAATCGGTGTCTGGTTGCAGTTGTCGGGCAGCGGTATGCAGTGAACGTGATGGACGAACACGTCCTTCGGGGGAACGCCGCAATTATCAAGTGTCACATACCGAGCTTCGTCGCCGAATTCGTCGAGGTTGATTCTTGGATCGAAGACGAGACCACTGATATATATCCTAGCGCCGATTACGGTATATAACAAGGCGCAACATTTCATGTCATCTTTACTCTGCTCGAATATCGCGTGAATCTTCTATTTCTATGACACTTGCAATCCATCAAATCGGCGCATCAACTGAAAATTTAATACAAAAATAAACGCATGGAACGCAATAGGAATTCTGTTCTATTTTCGTGTGTATTTATATTATTCTGTTGTCGAAGTTGTATAATTCGTGAGATAATATATGTGCAGAAGATTTTAGAATCAATTTAGAAGCAGATTCTTTGACAAGTTTTTCTTATGGGTTTTTGTTTTTTCTTCTTATATATCTCCGATATATTTTCTATTTTGGTTAAAAGCCTAATGCGTTTTCGTTGCATTATTCGTAAGAGCGATGCATTTCAAGCGTTCGGTAAACGTATAGAATTACAGTTGTCGGTAAGCCATTAGTATGCGGCAATGAGATCAAGGACTCTCTCATGACTGACGTCGTTCGACCATCGTTCGGTAATGACACTCCGTTTCACGATCGCTTTCGCATTCAAGCAAAAATTATCCTCTGCTCGATCATGACAAATAAATAATAATTACAAACGTGCTAGTTTCAATCGCAAGATCCCTAACGAAATACGTGCACAGTGACAATGGCTTTGCAGAAATTTTGACACATGGGAGGGAAAAAAGAGAACGGCAGGAAAAGGGAATAAACTATTTCGCCAATACAAATTTGTAGTTGCGAAATAACAAAAATACCAATCCAGGTCGTTTAAATCGTTCCATCGGCCTCCGCTCTATCGACCAAACACCGTTCGAATCGATATCACGCGTGTGAAATGCAAGATGTATGTTCTCTTGTTTTGATGCCCCTCGTTTCAAAAGTACCGTGCAATACGGGATTTTACGTGAAAATTTGTACGTAAATTTGTACGACGTTGACTGCCGCTGCTCGCGCTGTTCCAGACCTCTCTTCCCCTTTTCCACCGATTTTTTTCCGATCGTTCGATTTGGTCCATCCGTCTCTTCTCACCTGTACCCTCCTCTCTGTGTGGTAGTAGTTAAATGGATGTGGATAGCTTGTGTGTGATCGCATGAAACTAGTTCGCCTATCCAGGAAGTCTCGTTTGTCGATGAAATTTGGCCGCAAAAGCGATCAGATTTGTTAGAGGCGTTGAAGTTTCAACCACAATGGAGATTAACTTTAACGTACAAAATGGATTAATAGCAATTCGTTATATTCCGTTTATTGAGATAATCTGTGTTAAGTGATATTGTACATAGATATTTTTTAGAACCAGTTTCGGAAATTTAATAATAAAGTCTTTACAAAATAATTTATTATCCTACATATTTATAGTATTAATAAATACTGTAGATTTTGTACTTGGGATTATTTTTTGTTCTCTTTACGGTTATTGTAATAAATGCAAAAAATATATAGATTTCCTGGATATTTCAACGAGCAAAAGGAATATTACGCACCATACATTTACATTCGTAAAGAAATGAAGATGTGATTTCGCATAATATCTTTCCTATGAATCTGTAAGTGGGTGCGAGATTCCTTTGCTGTTGTTTGACGAACGTGCTTTGATTCCGTAAAGAATTCGCCGAATTGTCGAAGCGGGAAATTGAAGGGTCCGTGTTCATTCAGCGTTCGGTGAATTCGTATACCGCATGTATGTAGATACACTAAGTAAGAGCATTGTGCTTGAAGTATGGTACACAGAAAGAACGATTTCGCTGGAGTATATAAAAATTTAGTTAGATCTGAAAATAACTTTTTTTATCTTGTTAAAATAATGTAGGATGCTCAAGCTTAATAAGCAAAACGTTTTGACATTCCATAGCAACTATCTTGAGCGTCCTAAATATTTTAATATAAAAATATTTTAATATAGTTTTAAAATAAATATTTTAATGATAAAAAATAAAATTATTTTAGTAAACACACTAAAAATAATATAACATAGATATTATAATTTCGTACTTAACAATAAATGTAATATAACAGTGTTACATAACAGTTACATCGTTGAGTGTGAAATTATAATACTGATGTTATACTACTTTTAATTGATGTTTACTTGATAGATCTGAAAATAATCTTTTTGGCTTATTAAAGTAATACACAGGACGCTCAAATATAATATGATAAAAAAAAGTTTTGACATTTTAGTAAATCTTGAACGTTTTACATATTTTGATAATCTAATAAAATTAATTTTAGATTAGTATCTAAATTTTTATTATTATTAAATTAGTAGCTAATTAGCAGCTAAATTTTTAGATACTTTAACGAAGCAATTTCTGTATAATGTTATATTACTGCCATTCGAGCATCGTGCAATTAAGTTGGGATAATCGACTTCCTCTTGATATTAATAACATATGCGTGTTTGTAATTAATCGGTGATGATGTGCTCATAACCAATTAATTTAATAATATCGCATGACATCAAATAATACGATAATCAGTCGATCGATTATCCCGACCAATCACGTAAGGAGGACTAATGTGCAATGACTAACGTGTACCACTCTGAACGGGTTTAGATGGGAAATACTTGGTGTTGCCATCCGGAGAGCTGCACATCAGGGACGTCGGACCCGAAGACGGATACAAGACTTACCAATGCCGCACGAAGCACAGGCTCACTGGTGAAACTAGGCTATCCGCAACGAAGGGACGTCTCGTCATTACTGGTGAGTGAAAACGCAGAAATGTCTCGTTCCTTTTGTACGGAAATTACGATTCTGATTCAGCATCACTCTCTTTGACAAATGTTTCTCGATCATTCTTCGATATACCAAGCGGAGGAATACATCCTCACTAATCAATGTCCTATATATTTTTATGAAAGAAATCAGAATCGTATTTCTAGTTTCGAATCTGGATACCACAGTTCACACATTTTATTTTACGGATCAATACAAGTACAGTTATTTATGGCAATTAATTTACATAAACGCGTGTATTACAATTGTGGAAGCTAATTAATTATGAAACTATTGTTGTGTGACAATTTGTTTATCTACTAAATTAACTAAATACGGTAATCAGATTAATGTAAATATTAATTTAATATTATAATAGATATAAAATATTTTCCCTATTTCTTTTTTTAAATATCAGTTTATAGATACATCTCTTTCAATTTAACATAAATTTTAAAACGTCAAGTGTTATTACAAGCTATCTATTTCTCTTATTGTGAGGTATCTGGGTTCGAAATTATTATCTAAAAGATTGTTGATTTTCCATAACAAAAGTAAATAAAACTAATATTTCAAGTAATTAATGTAATCTCTTTCAAATTAATTTTTAAATTATTATTATTGTTGTGCAAGATATTGTATTATATTTTCTAGGAAAATCAATTGTCTTTTTGGGTATATAGTCACGTTCTACGAACGTGCAATCGTTTGCGCCAACGAGCTTGATCGACGATTTGATTTTACACTCGATTCCTTCTAAAACGGGAAGGACTGCAATCATTCGATATTTCTGCATCTTTACCTCCGAATTTATTATCTCAGAAAAGCCGAAATGCATGTTCGGTATTTAGCGCGATCAAGCTCGAGGGTGAACCTGAATGCTGGGACAGGGTACCCCTGCGGGCACGCGCCACCGCCCGCCCAAAACTCGACTCTCTTAATATAATCGATTTCGAGAGGAAATGTCCAAAGACAAATGAACGATAAAAAAAAGAAATAAATGTGCGAAATTCTTTCGGAATGCTTTGCGGCGCCTTCCGCGATCTCCGGGCTCTGTCCTTCGCTCTCGCGTGGTAAGTTTACGGAACATGTTCTTTCAGCCAAGAACTTCTCCGTGTGGATGCTGCACATAGCTCTATATGTAGTAGTCAACGCAGCTGAGCTCCGTTTCATGCTGTGAATTAAGCGGAATCGATCGTATAATTAGGCGGCGTCGTCTTTGTTCGTTCTTGCAGTAAATGAGCAGGAACATTCAAACCGTTAAGTGCGACAATGATACTAGCCATAATTTCCCCTTTTTAAAAAGAATTCTTTTCAATCGTGTTTTATATTGTTAATTTTTATGAAAAACTGAAATTGTATATCGAACCGAAACACTTTAAATTATTATAGAATCTTATTTTCCATCCTTTTTAATTCATGAATTGTGTCACTACTTCGCTCAATATAGTTTATTGCGTAATTCGGTTAGTTCAGAGTTAAGAAATTCTCTTAGATACTGCGACGGATTTACCGCATCGCAACGCGACATTGAACGCGAAACTACTTTCGCTTCTCTATCGCTTTCGTTTCGTGTAGCCGTTAAGTATCTACACTGATCGGCAGGATGACACCGATAAACGAATTGCTTTGTTCGTATAAGCGGTGCAATAGTGTAGGCAAAGCTGTCAAGTTACGTCAGCGCGAGGCAGTAATCTAGGGGGTTACTATAACTGGAGCAAGATGCAATGTAGCCATAATGACAATGATTGGCGATACGAGCAGGGGGCTTGACAAGTATGTGGCTCTACTGGCTTTTCATTACGCAGAACCAGTGGGCAGTGTACGACCAAAGTTTCCTACGATGGACAACATAAATGGACTTTCTGTGGGCTTGGAAGGCAATATACCGCTTCTATGCCCTGCTCAAGGATTTCCAGTACCATCTCATAGGTACGATACTCTTGATCAGAGTGGAGATTAACTTTTGATTGGGAACTATAACTAAAGAAACATATAAAGTAGCTTGCAGACATGGTTTAATAATTATGATACTTTCCTGTACCTACCTATTATAACGGACAATAATTTATAAAATGACGGAATAAAATTCTAGAACATATAGAACTTGTACCGATGTTGCTGTAATGTTACAATGTTATTGCAATACTATTGGAACGTAGCAAATGTTATTGCAATATTGTTAGAATAATTTGTGCTGTATAGGATTGTAAAGTAATTAGTGAAAAAGTACCAGGCGTGCAAATTATTGTATTGTATTGGTGAAGAGAAGACAATTAGTCTACTCGTGTTAGCTAAAATTGAAATAGATTTATTCAGATTTTAATTGAACAGTCTTTTATCGTTATTTAAAATGAGGTGTTTTATTTATTATAATAACATATGGACATCAACTTGAAAATTACTTTAGAAAAATAACAGAATCTTTGTAATTAAATGCGTATCTCAACTTATATCAGACAATATCAATAATCTTTGTAGTTACATTATTATTTAGCAAACCGTTGTATCGTTTATAATGTATGTGTGCACAGGGGTTCCCTGTTCCTTCTGATTGATCTAGTTAAAGCATTTAGTGTCATCATTCTTGAAGGCAGTCACATAAATTCATATACAATCATGACGTTGAGTCAATTTATCGCTTATCTTTCCGCAAGGACAATTCTTGATTCGTATTAAAATTACAAGTGAGTTCAAAGAATGAGAAAAACAGGAATGGCGTGCATTTTAGAGCCGGTGGGCAGTGTACGCCCAAAGATTCCGTCGACGGACGACGTGCGCGGTTTCCGGACTCTGGTCGAAGACTCCCCTGCCTTGATGTGCCCGGCACAGGGGTTCCCCGTTCCCCTGTACAGGTAGAGACCACAACACCGTTATTACGAGCGAACGCGAATCCTTCGGGATGACCGTTCGTCGCAGGCATACAAGTCCCCAATTATAAACGATATGATCAGAGCCGATCGGCAGTGTGAGACCCAAATTCCCGACAATCGACGACTCCAGGAGCTTCCGCACAACAAAGGATGGCTCGGTCACGTTGATGTGCCCCGCTCAGGGATTCCCTGTCCCCTTGTACAAGTAAGTCGTACTAGGCGAAGTCGTATATATTTTTCTTTATTTCTCTTTTCTTCTTGGGTCTCGTAACCTGTCGCAGAGCCTGTGGGAAGCGTACGTCCAAAGTTCCCCAGCGTCAGTAATATAAACGGCCTCGTCACGTCCACGAACGGAACTTTGCCGCTCCTGTGCCCTGCTCAGGGCTTCCCGGTCCCTTCATATAGGTATTACATCATCGAGTGCCTTGATGTCACTCCGTCCTTAAAGCGAGTCTCACGTTGATTCTCCATTAAGGAATTGCGATTAAATATTCGGTGCTTCTAGTGAAGCTAGGTAATTAGCAATGACGATACATTTGACGTTGCGGCGGTCTTCTTGTGTCATATACTTAATCAATTTCTTTAGCAGTATGGTCTCAATTTTATATTAATATACTCTAATAGAAAGTTTTAACACTATGTATTCATCTTTGAGAACTAGAACCTTTTAATGGAAGATCTTGCTTTTAAGAGTTTTCGGGATCGTTGAATTCAATTTTGGTGTCAGAATTGTAAAATTATAATTTTAAAAAATAATAGATATGGTTACTGTGTAAAACTTGGTTTTTGGAGACATTTTATATCTTTAAATGTAGTATGCAAATATTTAAATGTAATATTGAAAATTTCAAAAGTATAGTAACCACCATCCTAAACTCTCCTAAAGAGTATCAGAAGGCTCACATGTAGTTGGAAAATTCGTATCAAATTTAACATTTAATTTTTGTGTATATAATAGACAGTAACACAAATATTATGTAAAAAAGATTAACGTAACGAATATAATACTGAGACAATTTGTAAATAAACTGCGGAAGCATATTTTTTTAGTAAAATTAACTTTTATGATATATGTTAAATTAACACATATTTTTTATTCATTTATCGTAGAATTTACGTTTTAAAATACACTAACTTATGTTATTATATTTTACTTATAAATTGTATTATTTTGACACTCTCTTCTCTCTAATGATGAATATTAATACAATATATTTGATTAAATCACATTATATTAAATTAATGCTAGGATATGTTAAAAATTTAGCACAAAATTTTAGTGAACTTAAATGAATCAATTTTAATACAAAATGGTTTTTCATATGCACATAATCAAAATCTAAAAGTCAGCTTGGAAAGCAATAATTGTTTACGTAGCGTTGATGAACTTTAAACAAAACCGATGTTATGTTTAGAAATTTGATATTATTTTACAATTAAAATTTCCCAAAACCAAGTTTTATAATAATTTAATTATTTCTTTGTAATTCTGTTTCTTTTTCTTTATATATACATATATACATTGAATCCTCCATTTACAACTTTTTATTTTTTACCTCAGATTCGAATGAAACATAGAATTGCCTTACAGGCTGTTTTATAATAAAAATAAAAAAAAAAAAATAATAATAATCGAGCGAGCAGTTTATAAAATAAAAAGTAGCAATCTCAAATAATGTTGTCGGTCTAGGGTTAAAAATTTTATTTTATAGGTCTATAATTTTATAAATTCTAATATTCTCTCTCTTTCTTTCATTCTTTGTTTATAGATTTCTTATCAAGTTTTATACAATATTATTATATAGAAATGGTCTCTCTTTATATTATTTTCATAATTAAATGTTGAATAAATCCTACATTTGTAGTATTAATCACAATTTGAACAACATCAAAAGATAAAATTGCGCTACGTTTTTATCGTAAAAATTTGTAAGATACGTATTTAGCTTGAGCTTCAGGGGTTCCCCGTCCAGCTATACATAAACAATATTTTTGCTAGCAGTAATACTGTGTACGTACAATTCAATAATGTTTAGAGCCGGTTGGTAGCGTGAAACCGAAATTTCCGACTATAGATGACATCAGAGGGTTTCGCATGATTAAAGATGGATCCGTTACTTTATCGTGTCCCGCTCAAGGGTTCCCTGTCCCTGTTCAAAAGTAAGTCGAAATTCACGAAAATATTTCATTGCTGCGCATCTCACTGTCATCTTCACTTCTCCTCTTATCCTCTTCAATTATCTTCTCTCCCGGACTGCAACTGGCAGAGCCCGTAGCGAGCGCACGTCCAAAACTTTCGAGTATCGTCAACCTGATTGGATTTGTGACGAGGACCAAAGGAAGTTTACCACTTTTTTGTCCTGCGCAAGGATTTCCGCTTCCATCTTATAGGTAGGATAGACAATTAAAACGGTGATTTAAATATGATGATATAAAATCAATATCTGTTTAGAATTTTTTTTATATAATAAGGTAAATGTATTAGTTAATGATTGTTAGTGAACATAACTCAATTATTAGACAAAATAATAAAAATTTTTAATATATTATCCTTTCAGTTATATGTGTGATTTTAAATAAATTCGTTGCTTGTACAAAAAATTTAAGACTAATTTATTTAGAACCGTATATACTATTAAAAACTTAATATTGAAAATTTTTATTTTGTCCAATAATTGGATTATGTCTATTAACTGGTACATTTAACTTAATACGTTAACATAATATTGTAGTAAATTAGAAGAGGCTTATTTTTTAAAGAGGATTTCTTATGATAATTCCTATCATAATATTAAAAAAGTATTAAATTTTGGCATAAAATTATTTGATTAAATAATGAATTTCGAGTTGGTTATCATTTTAATGGGTTTAAAGGGTTCCCTGTCCCCTGGCATACATAAGTGGATCATTGTAATGTCGTCAGCGTTTCTGACACGTTTCCTTCCACGCCCGTGATCTTTTTGTAGAACCCGTGGGGAGCGTACGTCCGAAGTTTCCGACAATGGATAACTCACGCGGATTTATCTCAAACCAGAGAGACTCTTTGACTCTACTCTGTCCTGCTCAAGGGTTTCCTGTGCCATCGCATAGGTGGGACAAGGTTATATCACGGCAGATTTAGATTTTACAAATAAAAAATATAATTGTGTATTGCTAAGAGTGATAGAAAGAACACGAGCATTCGTAATTAAATTTGATTATTTTATGAAATTGCAAATATTTTAAAAATATAGAACAAGCTCATTTTTTCTCACAAGAAACTTTTGTTTATTGTTTTGAATATTTGTTCATTGTTTTAATATTTATTTCGTAATAATATAATTAATATGCCCTGTCTCAGCAATTTTAAATAATAATTTTAAAAAAGAAATAAAATTTGATTAGTTTAAATTATATTATCACATATTTGTTGCAATTGTACAAATGTAGATACGTGTTGTACGCTCGTGCTTTCTCTTTCGCTTTCTTGTAGAACCAGTCGCCAGCACAAAACCAAAATTTCCGATGACAGAGAATTCGCGTACGTACACAGTTCACTGCGATCGGCCGCTGACTCTCATGTGTCCGGCCCAGGCCTTCCCCGTTCCAGCTTTCAGGTATACAAAGCGTCGATGTTATAAGAAAGCGAGTGCGTACTATAGGGAGAGCATATTCGATTGGCGCATGACGGCAGTGCGGAATAATGTAGAAAAGACAAGGAAGGAAATTGCGGACAGATAGACGGTGTATGCACGCTCTGCGTGTTCTCACATACTCTTCTCTTTTAATCTTTCAGTGTCTGTTATCGAATCACCATACGTCAATTTCCGGTGATCGATCATTATACGCGTGGAACATTTACTTTACAAACATAAGATTTGTGTCCACTAAATTTTATTTAAACTAAAATTTAACTATATTGATATAACTATACTACAATTTTTAATTGTTAGGTTTTATTTAAACGTGTACGTTTTATTAATAATAAAAAAATGTCAAATTACAGAGTATATTACTCGTTATAATGTATGTATACAGACTGTTTCATAATTCTTAATTAATATTTCCGGGAATGAAAGAGGATGAAATTTTGAAATAAAAATTATTTTACCACAATTTTAACACCTTTATTTACCGACTTATTACGGATCAAGGACGATTATCTTGTACTCAATCAATTAGATTATGCTAGTCGGAATATGCAGGAGTGCAGCATGCTATGAAGTTTCTCGCGCTTATTACTGTACATTCTCTCAATTAAAATTTTATTATAAGTTTTCATATTAATTAATAAATAAATCAATAAATTAATAAATGTGCAGATAAATATAAAAATTATCTATTCGTTTGTTGATTTATTTACCTATCTTATTAATTAATATGAAAAATTATAATAAAATTTTAATTGGGAGAATGTACAGTAAGGAATCCTATGGTATGCTACACTCCCGCGTACTCTAATTGGACGTAATTTGACTTATCAACTTTAGTTATTAATAACTTGGTAAATAATGGTCTTAGTCAAAATTGGGATAGAAATTTTTAGTTCAAATTCTCATCCTCTTTCATTCCATAAATATTAATCGAGAGTTATGGAATATATCCTATATACAAGTAGCGTAAGTTAAAGAAAGTGTCGCAATTATCGATATGTCTTTGGTATCTTCGAACTTTCATAGAACCAGTCGCAAGTGCCCGTCCGAAATTTCCGTCGCTGGCGGACTCGCAGGGATTCAAAGTATATTTAGATGGCGCGATGACGTTATTATGTCCTGCTCAAGGGTTCCCCGTCCCATCGTACAGGTAAAGACATCTTTTTTTTCTTCCGCAAAAAGTGATCTTTTCCATCAGAACCAGCATCCAGCACACGACCGCAATTGTCCGGCTCGAGTGATCTTCAACGATTCAGCATTTCTTCGCAAAGAGGTGTTACTCTCCTTTGTCCTGCTCAAGGATTTCCGGTACCTTTCTATAGGTAGGCGTTTGTGCATTATTTTCGAAGA